GAAATCGCTTTCATGGGTTGACATCATGCGCTAGAAGGGTGAAAAGTACCCCAGTTTGCCTTTCCTTACATTGGGCTCGGTTTTCGTGAAGTGCCTGCATGCCCGAAGGGCATTCTTCTCTTTTAAAGGTAGAATTTGTTCACTGCCAGGCTGAAAAGCTAGGATCAAAACAAATCTCTTCCATGGGTTGACATTATGCGCTTGAAAGGTGAAAAGTGTTTTATTGTGGTTCTCTTCGAATTTGACTAGGTTTTAGTAATAAAAGTACGTGCATTCCTAAACGGCATTCTTTGTCTGTACTGTAAGAGCATAACTTTAAATTCTTGTTCGCACTTTATTAGAGCTGTGCACAAAACAATTTTAAAAAAAATTAAACTCTTTTTAAAGAGTTTTTTTAATATTGCGTGTTGTTTTGCGATTCCACCTCATCGACTTTTACTAATGATTGCTCAAATCGGAAAGCTGTCTACTTGTAGGTTAAAACATAATTGAAATTATAATTAGAGAAGATCAAAAGATTGACTGAACTATGAACCTAAGCCCAGATAAGATCTCTTTAAGGGAGTTGTTTGGCAGAAACTTATCTACTTTTGTGCAAAACATAATTGAAATTATAGTTACCAAGGATGAAAAGATTCACTGAACCATACAATCAAAGCAGCTAAAGCCCAATTAAGATCACTTTTGGGGAGTTGTTTGGAAACTTTAATTTGAACGTGTTTCCTTTGCAGTGAAGAAATCGCACCTTTCAAGGAGAAGAATACCTCTTTCGACTCTCTTTATCTTTTAATTACCCCTCCCCCCCCCCCCCCCCCCTCTTTGTTCCTTTTTCTCTTTTCCTATTCCTGAAATCATCAACTTACAGTATTTAATGCGTCTGTTTTCAGCTCTTTTATGGGTGCGTTGTGAGTGGAGTGGGGACTCTGAAACAGGTTAGCCGCTACGTTTCATCATCTACTCTCTTTTCCTTTTATCCCTCCCCCCCCCCTCCCCTCCCCTCCGTCTTCTCATTTTTGTTGTCGTCTGCAACAAAATCTGGTTAAAGAACCTCTCTATTCAATCGTATCGCTACCGTGAAGTTTACGGGAAGGTGTACGTTGATTAGCAACCGCCTGTCTGGGAAGCTGCACTGCTTAAACTTCGCTTTTTCCAGCAAAAACAAAACCCTTGGCCTTGTCTGTCTCGGTTGCGAAGCGTTCTAGTCGTCCGTTTCGTTGTCGATGCTTAATTTCCCTATTAACATCGTGTGAAAACGTTATGAATTTTTCAAACAAAGTATTAGATTTTCCCTGCCAAGTTATATTTGGGGCAGTAATTTGCATAAATTAACCACTAACCACACGATGCTTGTTTTTTTTTTTAAACCACATATCGTTAATCTGCTCGATAAAACGTACAGGAATACAATCTATCGAAACCATCCAGCGTCCTTCCTTAACATCCCCCCAGTGACATTATTTAAAAGAAAGATAGCGGGAAACAAAAGTTGCGAAAAATTACTATTTTGTCTCAGGTATACAGTTTCATTCGAGTGCCCGCGAATTTTTAACCATCAAATGGTTCAGAAAGGGTGAAATATTTGCATCCCGTTTTAATTTTGATCGAAATCGGAGTGCTAGTAAGACAAGACAAAAATGTGTTCAAAAATATCTATTTATTAGCTTTGTCAAAAAAGGTTCCTCCCCCTTGTAAATGACAATAAACAGGGGCCGTCAGGGGGACCCTTGAGAAAAAGTTTTTGAATTTTTATTGAGAGGAAGGATGATATTTTGTTATCATGCAAACAGATTTTTAGCTGTTTGTCTGCTTTCTGAAATATTTACCAACCAAATTTTTAATTTTCAAGGAGAAAATTGTTCTCCCAAATGCAATTTTTGGACCAAACTTCCCCCCCTGATGCCCGTGCAGTTTCTTGTTTAGAATTAAAACAAATGCCACAGTGAGTAGTGTTTTCTGAAGTACTAACTGCACTCAAGATATGAGGGAAGGTTTTGTTTGACCATTTCCAATTTTCCTCAATCCTTATTAGCGACTTTCGTTCTTAAATACCGGGTTCTTGGTGTGTCTGGGTGTCGAATGTTAAACTTGGTGCTTTAGGGATATAAGACATGGTGCAAGTTCAAGAAACCAGTGAAAGAAGTTGTTGAAAGCTTGTCTTACATAATAATTTGTTTCAGGTTCTCCTTGAATAGTTCGGAACACATGATTGCACATTATGTTTATTTTTATTTGATCAGTGTTGATTATTTTAAAGCTTTCATTTGTTTGTTTTTGAGTGAAGGAACTTATTGGCTAGTTTCGATATAAAGCCTTGAATTTCTTTTTGGTGTTAAAAACTGTTTTTTAGTGACATCTGTGCATTCATTAGGCATGAAACTACAGTCTGTATGTTTACGAATAAATTAGTTTCTACAGTTCCTACAATGCATTTTAAAAGAGATGAGGAGAAGCTGTCGTGAATATAACACCTTCCAGATTGCTTTCAAGAGCACGTTTAGAAGAAATCTCTTTTATGGGTTGACATCATGCGCTAGAAGGGTGAAAAGTGTTTTATTGTGGCTCTCTTCGAATTTGATTCGGTTTTAGTAATAAAAGTACGTGTATTCCTGAACGGCATTCTTTGTCTGCACTGTAAGAGCGTAACTTTAAATTCTTGTTCGCATATTATTAGAGCTGTACACAACACAATTTTAAAAAAATTAAACTCATCTTAAAGAGTTTTTTTAAATTGCGAATTGTTTTGCGATTCGACCTCATCGACTTTTAATAATGATTGCTAAAATCGAAAAGCTATCTACTCGTGTGTTAACACATAATTGAAATTGTAATTAGAGCAGATCAAAAGATTTACTGAACTATGAACCTAAGCCCAGATAAGATCTCTTTAAGGGAGTTGTTTGGCGGAAACGTATCTACTTTTGTGCAAAACATAATTGAAATTATAGTTACCGAGGATGAGAAGATTCACTGAACCATACAATCAAAGCAACTAAAGCCCAATTAAGATCACTTTTGGGGAGTTGTTTGGAAACTTTAAGTTTGTTTAAGGTTCTCCTTGAATAGTTCGGAACACAAGATTGCACATTATGTTTATTTTGATTTGATCAGTGTTGATTATTTAAAGCTTTCATTTGCTTGTTTTTGTATGAAGGAACTTATCGGCTAGTTTCGATATAAAGCCTTGAATGTCTTTTTAGTATTCAAAACTGTTTTTTAGTGACATCTGTGCATTCATTAGGCGTGAAACTACAGTCTGTATGTTTACGAATAAATTAGTTTCTACAGTTCCTGCAATGCGTTTCAAAAGAGAAGACGAGAATCTGTCGTGAATATAAACCTCCCTGATTGCTTTTAGGAGGACGTTTAGAAGAAATCGCTTTCATGGGTTGACATCATGCGCTAGAAAGGTGAAAAGTGCTCTAATTTGTCTTTCCTTACATTGGGCTCGATTTTCGTGAATTGCCTGCATGCCCGAAGGGCATTCTTCTCTTTTAAAGGTGGAATTTGTTCACTGCCAGGCTGAAAAGTTCAGATCAAAACAAATCTCTTCCATAGGTTGACATCATGCGCTGGAAGGGTGAAAAGTGTTTTATTGTGGCTCTCTTCGAATTTGATCCGGTTTTAGTAATAAAAGTAGGTGCATTCCTGAACGGCATTTTTTGTCTGGACTGTAAGAGCTTAAATTAAAAAAAAATTAAACTCTTTTTAAAGAGTTTTATTATATTGCGAATTGTTTTGCGAATTCCACCTCATCGTCTTTTTAACAATGATTGCTCAAATCGCACAGCTATCTACCAGGGTGTTAAAACATAATTGAAATTGTAATTAGAGAAGATCAAAAGATTTACCTAACTATAAACCACAGCCCAGAAAAGTTCTCTTTAAGAGAGTTGTTCGGCGGAAACGTATCTACTTGTGTTCAAAACATAATTGAAATTAGAGTTACCGAGGATGAAGAGATTCACTGAACTATAAAACCAAAGCAACTAAAGGCGAGTTAAGATCACTTTTGGGGAGTTGTTTGGAAACTTTCTTTTGAACGTTTTACCCTGACAGTGAATAAATTGCACTTTTTAAGGTGAAGAATATCCCTTCAGACTCTCTTTTCCATTTATTCCCCCCTCCGTCTTCTTTTTCTTGTTCTCGTCTGCAACAAAATCTGGTTAAAGAAGCTCACTATTTAAATGTTTTGCCCCGTAAAGTTTATGGAGACGTGTACGTCGATTATAGTAACCACCCCGGCCCTCTTTTTATTATTTCCACCCAACAAGACGCCAATGTTTACTTCAATGAAATCTACGGGGAGACCTGCAATAATCGATATTAGTTTCTACAGTCCAATGCGTTTATTCAAACGGATGATGACAATCAGTGGTGAAAATTACACCTTTGTGGTTGGTTTCAAGATCACATTTACAGGAAATCGCATCGTGCATTGACTTCCTAGGTTAAAAGGGTGACAAGTGCTCTATTTTGCTTCTTCTAAAATTGGGATTTATTTTCGTGACGTAAGTGCATGCCGGATAGGCTTTTCTTAGCCAAAGGAGATTTTATTTGGGCTTTGGTTTTACAGTTCAGTTGATTATGCTATCAATCATCTATATAATTTTATACAGTCTAATGCTTTTTATAAATAGATGATGACAATCTGTCGCGAATATTACACCTTTCTGGTTGTTTTCAAGATTGCATTTAGAAGAAATCTCTTGCTTGGGTTGACATAATTCGCCAGAAGGGTAAAAAATGCTTAGTTTTAGCTCTTTTTGAATTGGACTCGGCTTTCGTGAAGTACGTGCATACCTAGAGGGCATTATTCCTCTTCATTCTTCCCATAGTAATACAGTTGTACAAAAAGTAATTCCAGAAAACTCTTCAAAACAGACCCCGCGTAGGCTTTTGGTTTTACAGGTCAGTACATCTTTTCATCTCATGTTAATATAATTTTAGTTTTGTATATATCAGTGGATAATTATACGTTTTGATGCCAGTGTACTCTGCAGGTTGGACGTGAAGTATCACTAACTAGGATTCGGATATCTCCGTCAACTGAACGATTTCAGTCTTTGGTAAGTTGCTAACGAACATATTATTTCACAACTGTAGGACTTTTTCACAAACGAACTTATCGAGCTGCTTGTACAACAGAGCCAATTAATCCAGTTTTTTAAGTTGTTTTACGTGAATTTTTCCGGAGACTAACAGGGACTTCTCTTTTAGAGGACACTACCCACAGTTACCGCAGCTTGTACCATGCTATTGAAAATGTTGAAAGTCTCCTTATGAGCAACAAAAAGCACATCGTCTAGTTTCGTTACCGCTCAAGAAAGTTTCCTGAACTTTCCTTTATTCCCAAACATCACTCATGCTTCATGCTCGATTTAGAGCCAACGCCTTGGACTTAAGCTGCGTCTAGAATGTTCTACCTCAAAATTTTGTTGTTCTTTGCCAATGATAGCAGTAATATATGAGAAATGTTTTGCATTACAATATATGAAAACTGTGGTCAAGGTCTGTATTTCTACCAAAGTTCTACATTTTTTGACCTTAAGGCTTTTTTTCACTACTTGCAGGAGACAACGTCTTATTTTACTAACGTTAGACCACAGTCATAATAAATTCAAGTTCCTGATGTGCTCGAGTGATTTGGTGCCTTACGCCCATAACATATTCCTTTCTGCTATCACAGGATACTAATAACTTTTTTTTTAAAGCTAATGAAATTAAGCTTAGAGTTAGCATCCCAAAGAAAGAGATACGTGATACAACTCACTATGACTGTGAAGATGACTACCGCACAGGTTGTCGAAACGTCAGTCACTGTCAACAACAACAGTCCTATTCAGGACTACGTTCACCCGGACGATCAAATTCAACCTACTTCTGAAAGAAAGAGTGTTAAAAATCATCCGGGCAAAAATTATTTAGCATTTATTGTTTTCTTCTTCCAAGTAAGAAGGTAAACCTAAATGTATATTACATCCAACCGCAGATCCACAATGAAAGCGTCTATGACAGCAGCCATTCTTTTCTTCGTCCTGGGCGTCTCCCTTGGACGTAGCCGCTTTTCTAGTTCCGAAGTTTATGGTGATGCTGACGATGTTACAATTCCCGGTAAGTTCACTGACTGCGAAGTTACTTACCATTCATTACTCCAGGCCTTTAATTGTGTGTGTGTGTGTTTGTGTACATAGCGAGCCTTTAATTTGCGCCCAACTCAAGGAAATTAATTGCATCATCTACATATTTTTGAAGCCAGGATATTTTGCAAAATTATAAAAGAAATTGTTATATTCCTAGACTTTCACTCAACTAAACAGGGACAGCCATTGTCTGGTTCTTGGTCACATGGCCTTGACTAAAATCAAATGTATCCCGATCGTGATACATTACAGCACGTGACCAAAGCATGGTTTGAAACGGCGTGACAGAAGGCGGGAAAAACAGTGCCAGTTTTCTTTTTCGTGAATGAACAAACAAAACAAACATGAAGCCTCAAGCTAAAAAGCAACGATTTTCAAAGTTATCCCACAAGGGAAACAGCAGCTAGTGGAGGAAGAAGATGCCGATAATATAAGGAAAGTACTTTGTAAATCATTCATTCAGTGGTTTTGAGAATCAAATTTGTGTTCTTATACATAAGTACCGAGTCGACTGTTTTGATTCGTTTCGCTTAAGCGTATTCTTTTGTTGCTGTTGAAGTACGTTGAAGTTAAATGCTAGGAATATAACAAAACAATTAGTGTCAGGTCCCTCGGGAAACCAGTTACTTTTGTTTTTTCCTCGAGTCCTGTTTCCCTCGGGATCTGACAACATTAAGTGTATAATGTCGATATATTTCCGTTTAATGTAGACCATGTCAAGTGAACCAACCCTTCACTGAAAACTTTACCAGTTCGTTTTCGGACATGTCATTTATTTTCATCGTTCCCAAAAATCTTCTTCATATACCATCAGAAATTTTGGGGAGAAAGCTTACTGGAACAGGATATCATGTCACTGCAGAAACAGAAAAGCCACCATAAGGAAATTCTAGAGTAAGCAGAAAACCTCTGGCGCCGATCTGTTGAAAAAGGCTCGTTTTAGAGCCAACCTCTAGGACCTAAGATGCATCTAGAAAATTCTATCTCAAAGCTGTCTTGTTCTGTGGCAATGATATCAATAACATATGTTAAATTTTCTGCATATTAATGGTGAAAAGTAGTGAACAGAGTCCATACGTCAAAGCTGTTGCAATTCTACAAAAGCATTAGTAATCCCGGTGTTGTGGTCTGGCCTTTCTGGTCTGGGTGAGTTGGGTGGGGCCCTTTCCCTCTCGGCACCTTTGCCCAGTAGAATAGAGAAAACGAAAACGGGTATGGATATTTGTATTTATGGTCAAAAAATGGGGGGTGTCCTTCCTTGTAAAGTTTGAAACAGGGTATGGATTTTTATAATATTGATCAGAAAACGTGCACGTTTCATTCTGTGGCCTGAAAATAGGGTAGGGATTGTTACAATTTTATTCAAAAATGGTAATGTTTAGTTGTATGGCCTGAAACAGCGGATGCATTTGTACAATTTTCATCAGAAAATTTCGTTCTATGGTCTCAAATAGTGTATAGGTTTTGAACAAATTTAATCAGAAAATATGCAAGTTTCGTTTTGTGGTTGATCTGAAATAGGGAAGGAATTTTTAAAATTTGGATGAGAAAATGGGTACCTTTCCTTCTATGTTATGGATATTCACAAATTTTATCTGAAAATGGGTATGTTTCGTTCTATATTGGAAACAGGGTATGGATATTCCCAATTTTGTAAAAATTTTCTTAAAATGGGTATGTTTCCTTCCATGGTTCTAAACCGGGTATAGACTTTTACAATTTTAATCAGAAACTAGGTATGTTTCGTTCTATCTTTTGAAACAGATCATGGATTTCTACAATTTTGATCAGAGCTTGGCTATGTTTCATTCTATGGTTTAATTAGAGAAGTGATATTTCTAATTTTGACCAAAAGCTGGGTATGCTTGGCTCTATGGTGCGGATTAGAATATGCATTTCTAAATTTTTGATCAGAAAATGAATATTATTCGTTCTATGGTCTGAAATATGCTATAGATTTTTACTGTTACTTGAACTCTGGTTCAAAAATTGGATTTTAAAAAACATCATTTGGTGAGAAATTAGGCGCCAGAATTACTCCTTCTGATCTCAGATGGTCCCGCTTACCCCTACCTATAGCTAAAATTTCGATGAGTTCGTCCCCCCGAAAAGCTGTTCAATGACTGCTGTTTTTAGGACAGTGATATTAGGAAGTGTCACAAACACTTCTCTCTCACCCAAAATCGATTTCAAAACTGCATCACTTCCAACAAAAAAAAAAACTGTTTTCTTGCTGAATGTAGCTTCTCCAAGCTCCATCAATGAACAGCTCTAATAAAAATAATAATAATAATAATAATAATAATAAAATAATAATAATAAAGAAGATGGGTTAGTGCCGAAAATTTTTTTTTCCACTTTTAAACAGCATTAATGACAGCTAATGTTATGTATACATCATTTTAAACACATGCAAAATCAGTAAAGTAAAAAACTTTTCTTATTAAAATAGTAAACTAGCTTATTGCTTATAACAATGATATATTGTTTTAAAATTTCATGGTAATATATCTAGTATATTTCAGTATTTACTAATCTACATTTTCTATAATTTACAAAAAAAATTATTTCTAATAATAATAATAATAATGGTCTTTATTAAAATATTAGAAACAAACGTTAAAACTTACAGAGTAAAAAGATTAAGGAAAACTGTCCATGATTAAGACACTCAAAAGCAAAAAAAATTTACACTCGTGTAAAAATCAAATAAGCATCTATTTACAAAGCATTTTTTAAACGTTTCGGTTTGGACACGTTGGATCAGTTAGGGGTGTGCTGTACTGTGAAGAGCTCCGCTCTTACGAGGAGGAAGGAGCTCATGAAGCGGGTGCTTGGGAGTGCCAAATTAACAACACTGTTATATAACTTCCTGCCCCTTTGCTTAATAATCTTCTGAACCAGTGTAACTATTTAATATATCCTATAAATGCGGCTGAGGTATTTAGTTTGCTAGGCTACTCCGGATATTCACTTGTTTGATGCAAAAATGATTATCTTTAATTCTGTGGTCAGAAACAGAGTATGCATTTTTATATTTTGATCAGAAAATGAGTATGTTTCGTTCTATGTGCTGAAACAGGGTTAGGATTTTCTTACTTTTGAAGAGACAATGCGCAAGTTTCCCTTTGTGTGGCCTTAAAATAGGGTAGGGATTGTTACAATTTTGATCAGAAAATGGGTATATGATTTAATTGTACTATGGCCTGAAGTACGGTATTTATGTGTACAGTTTTGATTAGAAAATGGGTATGTTTGGCTCTATGGTCTGAAACAGGTTATGCATTTTGTACAATTTTCATCACAAACGCTTCGTGCTCCGGTCTTAAAAAGCGTATAGATTTTAAAAATTTCGATCAGAAACTGGGTATGTTTCGTTCTATGGTCTAAATTAGGTTATACATTTTTACAATTTCGATCAGAAAATGGATGTGTTTCGTTCTATGGTCTGAAACGTGGTATAGATTTTTACGTTACTAGAACTGCGTTCCAAAAGAAAGAGAATTTGGTGAGAAATTAGTTGCCGAATTTACTTCTTCTGGTATGAAATAGTCCCTCACACGTTACCTAAAATTTCTTTGAGTACAATCCCCGGAAACTTCTTCGATGTTGCTGTTTTGAGGACTGTAATAAAGAAGTCTCACAAATGCGTCTCTCTTGCTCAAAATCTATTTAAAACTGTAACAATTTCAACAAACAAAAGCGGTTTTCTCGTTGAATGTAGCTTTTTGAAGCTCCATCAATTAAAAGCTCTACTATGGATAGCTTCTTCTATGGATAGCTCGTGTTTAGACAGTTTTGACCTTCAGATATCTCTTTCTGAGTACGTCACGCTCTTCTGGGAAAGAAAAGATTTAACGCTAGCTTATGTCTGTGTTTATGAATGCTAATTTTACAGAGAAACGTTTTTTGTGGTGGTGGCATCCTCCTGCTCCTCCAAGCACACACAACACTTGGAATGGCGGCAATAATAATGGTGGTAGCGTCAGCAATCAACAAGGTGATGTTGCAAGTCCAGGTAAGTTCACTAATTCCAAAGCTACTTAACACTGATAAGACGACCAGGATGTTTCGCTCTATAGTGTAAACCAGGCTATGGATATTAACAACTTTGATCAAAATATGGGTATATCCTTTTAATCGTCTGAAACAGGGTGTGGATATTTACAATTTTGATCCAAAACTGGGTATGATTCGTTCTACGGTGCAAAAAAGATATAGATATTCAAGATTTTGATGAGAAAATGTGTAAGTTTCCTTCTTTTAAACTAAATAGGGTATGGATTTTTATACCTTTGATTAAAACACTGATCTGTCTGAACACGGGTCTTTCGTTCTATGGTCAGAAACAGAGTATGGTTTATTATAGTTTTCACTGACTCCACATCTATCTAACAGTGGTCAGAAAATCAGCATGTCTCGCTCTATGGTGTAACACAGGGTGTGGATATTAACAAATTGGATCAAAATATGGGTATATCCTTTTAATTGTCTGAAACAGGGTATGGATATTTACAATTCTGATCCAAAAATGGGTACACTTCCGGTTCTATGGTCTGAAAAAAGGATGAATGTTCAACATTTTGATCAGAAAATGGGTATCTTTCGTTCTGTTGTGTCCAAAAGCGTATTGATATATTAAAATTTTTCATCAGAAAATGTGAGTTTCCTTCATACACATGAAATAGGTATGGATTTTTATAATTCTGATCAGAACACGGGTTTGCCTCGTTCTACGGTGTGAAAGATTCAACGGATATTCATAGTTTTGATCCAAATATGGTTTTCTTTAGTTCTATGGTCAGAAAAAGAGTATGGATTTTTATACTTTTGATTAGAAAATGAGTATGTTTCGTTCTATGTGCTGAAACAGGCTTAGGGTTTTCTTACTTTTGAAGAGACAATGTGCAAGTTTCCCTTTGTGTGGTCTTAAAATAGGGTAGGGATTGTTACAATTTTGATCAGAAATTGGGTATGTTTTGTACTATGGCCTGAAGTAGGGTTTTTATGTGTACAGTTGGGCATGTTTGGCTCTATGGTCTGAAACAGGTTATGCATTTTGTACAATTTTCATCACAAAATGCTTCGCTTCGTGCTGTGGTCTTAAAAATCGTATAGATTTTAAAAATTTTGATCAGAAACTGGGTATGTTTCGTTCTATGGCCTGAATTAGGTTATGCATTTTTACAATTTCGATCAGAAAATGGATGTGTTTCGTTCTATGGTCTGAAACGTGGTATAGATTTTTACGTTACTAGAACTGCGTTCCAAAAGAAAGAGAATTTGGTGAGAAATTAGTTGCCGAATTTACTTCTTCTGGTATGAAATAGTCCCTCACACGTTACCTAAAATTTCTTTGAGTACAATCCCCGGAAACTTCTTCGATGTTGCTGTTTTGAGGACTGTAATAAAGAAGTCTCACAAATGCGTATCTCTTGCCCAAAATCAATTTAAAAACTGCACCAATTTCAACAAACAGAACCTGTTTTCTCGTTGAATGTAGCTTTTAGAAGCTCCATCAATTAAAAGCTCTACTATGGATAGCTCGTGTTTAAAGACAGTTTTGACCTTCAGATATCTTTTTCTGCGTACGTCAAGCTCTTCTGGGAAAGAAAAGATTTAACGCTAGCTTATGTCTGTGTTTATGAATGCTTATTTTACAGAGAAACGTATTTTCTGGTGGTGGCATCGTCCTGCTCGTCCAAGCACACACAACACTTGGAATGGCGGCAATAATAATGGTGGTAACGTCAGCAACAAACAGAATACCGGTGGCAACGGTGGAAGCAACTCTTGGACTGGCGGGAACGGAAATACTGGATCTGTATCTAACAACCAACAAGGCTAAAGGGGCTTTGTTTAAATGGGATGTATCGATAATGATAGTCGTCAGTAGCAGTGCGTGTAAGACTATAAACTAGGAAGCCCTCATCCCTATGTCGACTTTTCCCCGTTAACTAGCTGTTAAATCAAGTTTGTGTTAAATCTTTCAATTTTTGATAGGACCCATATAAACAGTTGAGATGTCCAGTAATAGGAAACGAATTAAATAAAACGGCGGTTTTAGTTACCTTTCTTTTGTGCTTGCCTGGTATTGTCGGAGTACCCATATCTACGCTTTAGATTACCGGTTCGTGAAATTGCAAGCAAATGATTACAATGTGATCACTGCCAGTGTAAACGTAAAATCGTAGCATTTTGTGGCCATCGCTTTGAAACAAGTTAAGCCACACTCGCAGTGATCGTGTGGCCATAATTATCTGAAATCGTAGCGTTCAAAATGCTAAGATGTCTACGCTTACACTACCATCTAGTGAAAGGCCAAAGGGGTGGGATCTAGCCTCAGACAGCGCGCAAAAGGAATCACAGGCAGTAAAAAATTTGGTGATTATCAATTAGTAATTTGTCGCGCGCAAACCGAGCCATGTTGAAATATTAAGAGCAGTACTCTGAGAAAGTGAAACAAAGTTGGAAATGACAAATTTTGTTTGGAGGGAGGTTCTCTGGGGGGATGAACGAAACTGCCACATATGGGTCACCCAATGTATTGTTTCCACGGTAACAGCAATTATTGATGACGCCAGCCTCACTCAGGCCCATGATTTGTGCTAAAATTGTACTCTTACTCTAAAAACGTACTTACAAATTATGTTACGCGGGTAATCTTTTAGAGGACGGGTAGCTTGCATACTAAACTGAACGCAGGGTTGTCGGAACAGCAACAAGAAGATTTATTCCAAAAATAAACGTAGTTTCCACGAAGTAGAACTCCACAACAGCATGTAACTCGATAAACTTACACGGACTCCGCCAACTTGAATTAACACTGCTTCCGTCACACTTGACAAAACACGACTAACGCCAAACTCTCTACGCTTGTCAAAACTAGTTAAAACTTAACTCGGACTCGCCTACTTATATACTTTTACAATAAGATTCTAGAACTTTCCAAATAGTCTAATTATAGAAAGATTACGAAATATGCTGCTTTAGAAACGCTTACACAAGATCCTAAAATAAACAAACTACGAGCTCTCGCGAAGCTTCTAGAATGTCACGTTTAAAAGTCACGCAATACAATTTTTCGTAACATAACCCCCTTTCAGAAGAAATTTCCTAAATTTCTCCTTAACAAGAAAAATTGATAAATAAGAAGCAGTTCAATGTCAATAAACTTATTCTTCAGCTCTACTCAAGTAATCTGCTCCAACGTTCTCTGAGCCTTTAATGACTTCAACTTTGAATGTATAACTTTGCAAAAACATAGCCCAACGCATAAGACGTCCGTTCGCAAACTTAGCACTGCTCATATACTTTAGGGGTTCTTGATCCGTCTGTAGAACAAAGGGAACTCCGTACAAATAAAGATGAAATCTCTTGATACCCCAGGCTACTGCTAGGCACTCTTTCTCAATTGTAGAATAGTTCCTTTCTGCACTTGACAATTTCTTGCTGGCGTAGCAAACTGGGAACAACTTCTCATCATGCTTCTGCATTAATACAGCACCAATTCTAGTATTTGGCGCATCCGTCAGAACTCTCGCGAAGCTTCTAGAATGTCACGTTTAAAAGTCACGCAATACAATTTTTCGTAACAAATTAGCCTATTTCTCCGCCGAATTTCAACCAATTCCCTTTTAAATTCCACAAGAGACTATAGCTATCCACCTAGTTAATAATGGTATCCTTAAAAGTATTTTGTCCTTCATAGCCAATGAAAAAAATCGTGGCTCGACGATGCTGCATGTTGGCCATTTTGGCAGATGGCAAAAACAAGCATGACCATTTTCGCAGTTTCCTTGAAAGTATTCTTTTCCCAGACACCACATTCCCAGCAGAGCTTGTAAAAGAATCAGCGTTTCTAAATATAGGAAAACCAATTTGGTGAACGTTATGTTTTGACCCCAGGCAATGAATACATTTGACGAAAATTGGAAAGCTTTCAAAAATTGGCCATTTGCTGACTTTGTTGTCTCACGCTCAGAACGGCTGAGAAAGACCGTTCAAGGTCTAAAAGTATTAAACAATTGTTCCTCGAGCCCGAATAGACTCTGACTTAATAGCCCATGAGGGCGAGAAGAATAACTCGCGCTTCGCGTGTAAGACTCTTACGCCGCGCTTTACCGATTTTTTACTGATTATGAGAAAAAAAAAACCGACTGTTTTGCAGTCTATCTTTATATAAACCATATGTTGCTTCGAGTGAGGTCGTTAAAGTTGTGGGAAATGTGAAATGTGTTTAGACTGTGTAGCCCGCTCGCTGGAAATTTTTGAACAAGCCACCCCAGACAAAAGACTTCTCATTTTGCTGAAGGATAAGACGGCAAAAATTAACTTCAATGAGAGTCTCCGTGTTAAAGAGGCCTCTGAAAAACGCAATCTCTTGCTTTAATACAGAGACGAAAACTGTGATATCCAATCATTTCTAGGTGAGTACAAATCTTTTTATTCCGAGGCGAGGACGGTGCGTTCGATTTGTATTATGCCAAAACTGCACAACAACTTACCTACCCTCGGCCAAGTAATTATTTTTTTCTGAGATTGTACATTGAACACATGCACGCACTGAGTATAAAGATGTCGCCGGTAAACAGACAGAATGGAAGGCATCCGTTCAAGCCTGAAGAAATTCTCGTCCTTTGCAACAAAGCAAACGAGCTCGAAGACTTTATGAACTATAAATCAGTCTTCACAAAAAAACGTCACTTATTTGAACATAAGTGTCAAAACCGCCAACTGGGGGAGGGGGGGAGGGGGGTTATGGTTGGCTGGCAACGGCCTTTAAATCCTTTACTCTACTTCTTTGCTGAACCACACAGTATGTTCCAATCTACAAAAAAAACTCCAGACAATGACAATGTTTTGAAAAGCACATCTTCAACACAGACTTGCTTTCAGCCAAATTGTAACATAGGACACCTTCTACAGTCCGGAAAGGAAGGTTTATCTCAGTTCTACTTATACTGACACTTTGAGGAAAATCGACTGGCATAATCATGTCTTTTCATACCCATCACATTTTACAGTGTATTCCGGTTACTAACAAGGGCAGATAAGTTCCTGAAGTCCAGTATCCACAAGGATTTATAACAGAGTAACACATTGCATAAACTGCTACAGCGCAGCACTGTTTACAGAGCATTCAATTTGGTAACTATTAACATTTGATATACTACATTCATTTATTCAAGACTGCTTGAAAGAAGATCAACTTCAAAGTTGGCAATATGTACACCTTTAAGCTCATATATATCCTCATTCCCATATAGACTCCAAAAATATTGTACTAATTTATGCATGGATGGTATTTCCAAAAATACACATGTCCCTTCACTGTGAATGTTACCATCTAGCATGAAAATCAAATACACCAGCGCCGTAGCTAGTATGAGGCCAACCGAGGCACTCGCCTCGGTAAAATTTTGACGAATTTCGCCGATCATTTTTATTTTACATAAGCGATCATCGGATATTTTTAACGCATCATGATATTACAAAGAATTCAGCAATTCAGTCAATATACTATGAAAAAATTACCATATCATCGATCTCAAGGGGCTACGTACGTTAACTCAAATTTTTTT